TTGAAACAAAAATTCCCTAAAATAAGTGAGGCAGGCAAAGATGAAAGAAGGTATTTTTATTGGACCACAGATTAGGGAAGTGCTTAAGGATTCGAAATTTCAATTGAGTTCAACAGAAAATAGTGCATGGAACTCATTCAAAAATGTAGTTGAAAATTTTCTAGGAAATATCATGGTTGAAAATTATATCGATCTGGTGGCTAGTCTCATTGAATCATACCATAGAATGGGCTGCAAAATGTATTTAAAACTTCACTTCCTTCACTGTCACCTGGACTTTTTTCTACCAAATCTTGGTACCGTTAGTGATGAACACGGTGAGCGTTTTCACCAGGATATTTCACACATGGTAAAACGCTACCAAGGAAATTTCACCAACATGTTAACAGATTACTGCTGGACACTAAAAAGGGACTTGCCAGATGCTCAATATGCAAGAAAATCCTAAGTAAGGACCATTTTTTATATTCACGATTTACTTGCTAAAACCCCCTTGAATTATCTGTTAATCCGGTTGTCTTAAGAAAACTATACGTAATCGAAAAAATCTGAACGCAGATTTGGAATCAGCACGAAAAATACATCTAGGATCACCCAACAACATATCTGGGACAGAAAAAAAAATATTTTTTGTTGACCTGTGTAAATGAGTATCAAAAATGTAGAAGTATATTACTTAATATTATACTATTTTTTATGGATGAATCGAAACTCTTCTAAATATAAAAACAAATATAACAATACTTTATACAAACTATTATAGTAATAAATGTAATTACTTACTTATCACCGTTGGTCAATTAAAAAATTTTTTTTCATTGCTTATTTCAAAAAGAAATTTTTTCTTAAAAGGGTAAGGGTGTAGTGTCATATTAACCTTGACCACACACAATGTACTGTGTGCGGTAATTAGCATGACACATTTACCCAAAACACTTAAGTTTCCGCCTATGTGTAATTTATGATATAAAAACCCAAAAGGCCATTTTTAAATATTTTACGAGTTAAGTAGTTTGACTCGCCTTTGTGTCATTTCTTTATGACAAATATTCTGTCGCATAATTTATTACTTCAATATGCGCTTAGCTATTTGGATTTCCATATTTGGAATACATGGAAGTAAACTATGTTTTCCGCATGCAATCCAAATGCAATATGATCGCTCTGCAATACTTCTATTTAAAATGAGTGTCATTGAAATACATTGCAATTAACCAATGGAATGAGTAAGTAAAAATTAAAATTATGTATTATCTTAACCAATAGAAATTAAGTAAATAAAATATATGTTAGTAAATAAGAAACCGAACCGTCTTGGTTCGAGGTAGTTAAAGAAGAGTTAGTTTTAGATCTGTCGTCAAAATAGAGACTTCGTAATATCGAGAAATCGATATTTTAATTTTATATAAAATTTATGGTAAAAGATACCTTTACAGTAAATCCACACGCCTTCTAACAGTGTTGATGACTCGTCAATCATTCCTCCATCAGCTATGGCCAAATGGAAATCTGGATAACTAGTTAAATTACCCTACGTCAGCATAAGCCATGCAGAAGGTAATTCAACCACCATCGCAGTTCACTCATTCACATGGTGATCGTCAGCAATGACCAAACGAACCAACATGTGCCTAGACCAACTAGTCTGAGCACCCACTGAGGTCCCTAACAAAATAGTTACATATTGTAGTTTACAAAAAAAAGATGCCCAAAATAATTGGGTTTACATAAAGAAATTAATTAAGTAAAAAATATGAAATTTACAGGGTCATTAATCTATCCAAAAATTAATTTATTCTAACAACATGTTTTAAAGAAACTCGTTATATATTAGGTATACTCGTTATGTACTATTTACTAGTGTTAGAACAGTCACTTACGCCCAAACTGTAAAAGGGCCCATTCAAAGTACTGACTCACAAGGCAACAACGCGTTGTCAATTATCTTAACAAAACTTAATCTACAAGAAGAGGTCTTTAAAACCCTCGAACAACGTCTAAGCGTGCAACAGCACAATATGCAGTTTTTAGATTATGACTTATCGTTTGAAACTATTCTTATGGAATGTGAATGGATTAACAAAACATAAAAATGAACTCGAAGTCGTATTAAATAGCGAAAACATTGATATCGGTTTAATCGCTGAAACTCATTTTACTAAGCAATCGCATATAACGTTTAAAAACTATACTCTATATCATACCATACATCCCGATAATTGCGCTAGGGGTGGCAGCTATGTCATAATTAGAAACTCGATAAAACATCATTTACTAGAACAATATAGCACAATTGAATTTCAAGCTACTTCTGTTTCCGTGGAAACCTTTAATCAGCCGCTGGTCGTAACTGCATTATATAGTCCTCCCAGGCATCAGTTGAAGTGCGCAGACTACTTATCTCTTTTTAACCGGTTTCAAGGCCATTACATAATTGGAGGAGACTTCAATGCAAAAAATACGTTTTGGGGCTCAAGACTTACTGAAACGAAACGAAGAGAAATGTACAAAGCCATGTAACTCGCAGCTTGCAATTCAATTTCAACTGGTAAACCAACGTACTGACCGTCGGATACTAGCAAAGTTCCAGACCTAATCGACTTCTTTGTCTATAAAAACATTCCAGCAGAACACGCCCAAGTTAGCAAATACATTTACTGACTGGAAATATTTTCAGCTTCAGCTTGTACATTTACTCAAGTGTGATCATATTGTTAACAGCGAGCAACTAGATGACGCAGTACTTCATTTCACTCAGCAATTGCAGATGGCAACGTGGAACAGTACACCAACACAAAAACTCCAAACTCTACATGGTAAAAAATACCCACCCTTCATCACAAAAAAATTACGGAGAAGCGAAAACTGCGAAAACGTTGGCAAGCAACTAGATGTCCGTTAATTAAGTCGCAACTAAACCGAGCAAGTAAAAAATTACATATAGCCATCAAATCATACAAAAATACCTAATACCTTTAATAGTTTTCTGATGGTCCTCACGGCAGACAAAAATAATGAATACTCTCTGTGGAAAGCTGCTAAATCACTACTACTACCGCGTTTATTACCAATATTCGAGAGAAGACGCTTAATTAGTGATTATCAATTCGGATTTAGAAAAAACCACTCAACCACTATCATATCAAATGTTCCTCCTTTTATACCGAACATACCGGAGCTTTTTGGTGTAGCGCACCGGTATTAATTGCTGTTGTTAACTTAACTTTGTGTTATATTTTGTACTTCTTGTGTCTTTTCATGTTTGCATGTTTTTCCTCATCTTTTTATTTCGTCGCGGTTTTGTTTACTTACTACGCGTAGTTCCGAGTGTGTTTGTAATTACCAATTTTTAATTAGCACTTTATTATTTAAAATAAAGTATTTTAATCATTTAAAACAAGGTACATTAGATATAAATTATGAAATATATATATTTAATATTTTTCAAAACCAAATGTGACAAAAATATTTCATAAAAATAAAAAACTGGTGTTGGCGTGTTTTGTTGATTTGTTATCGTCGGAGTTTGTTTTGTTTTTACGTGTATAAAGAAATAAAAGCTGTGCAAAAATAAGTGTTAAATTGTTTTATATTTTATTTATTTCTTAAATATATTTATAAATAAATAAATGTGTTTTCTGTAATAATTGTTTATTTGTTGTTGTGTTTAGAATTCCAATACAAGTTTTTCCATACATAAATTGTAACAAGAAATTCAATTTTTTTCCGCATATTTAAGATTTTGTACATTGCATGCATCGATGCTCGCGGCACGCTGGAACCGAGGATCGCAGGTAATGTCCATGTGATTTATAAATAAATATTTTTATTCAATTTCATATTTTTTTTATATAAATTCATTGCAGTATTCTTTACGTGAGTGTTTTTATTTTTTTCTATGTGTGGGGGTAGTGGTTAGGTGACACTCAGATTTTCTTTTTCGCTTGTTCTTGCTATATGTAACATAGAAATTTACTGTGTAAATTTGTGTCGTTACAATATGAACTAGTCGTAGTCAAATGAAAAATGTATTTATATTATTGTATATTGTGTTTCAAATAATAAAAAAAAAAAAAATAAAAAAAAAAAACTTAATTTATTAAACATTTGTAATTACTTATTTTTCATGCACACGGGTTTCGGCATCATGTCACATGGACCGCTAAAGTACATGCACACCGAGCTTATGTTTTAGACTGACTGCCTTGTTTTTTATAGTGTATTGATATTTCGTAATATAGAGTTGTCATGACAATGCAAGCTGTTGACTGTTTACTATATGCTGCTCAAATTACGAGACCGGACATAAGTTATACAGTCAATCTAAGTAGATATAATTCAAATCCAGGAAAGGCTCATTGGGAAGCAGTAAAGCGTGCTATGCGTTATCTCAAGGGTAATATGATTTGATATGACAAGTAATATGATTTGGATTGGATATGGTTATGTTTGGTTTTTCCTATCGCAGCGAGGCGCCTTTCTTGTTCGCAACGAGGCGAATAAAATTAGGTTGCAACTAGGCAACTTGAATAAAATAATCAGCGAGACTCAATGTTCTGTTTGAATCTGACTTCTTTATTAAATTTGTACAGTATTTATACTTATTCTAACTTAAACACTAACCTACCTGAATATTATGTTCGCGTAGTAATTTTCATATAAAAATGCTTAATATGCATTTCAATTAATTTAAAAATATGAATTTATTATTATTATTTAATAATTACCTGAAATACTAAATAATGAAATTCCAATGCAAGTTAATGCACTTTACGAATTTCATTTGCGCAAAACAAAAGAATCAAATTACTTTTCTTTTGCGCTTCTTCACATGGTAAGTGTGTGATCAATGACTTTGCTTTTGGCATGTGCCAGTAACGTATGTCATCATATTACCATT